TTTCTCTTGAATACATGAGGAATGTGTCCAAGGAAAGGCTGATGAGGGTTGGACGGAAGGAATAGTCTGATCATGTAATACATGTAATGCATGAAGAACTTCAGGTGAGGGAAGCTCTGTAAACTGTGAATAGTCATAGTGACCTCTCGCTTTCATCGCAGAGAAGGGCTCCAGTGCGAGCATGTACACGACTGTTAGCATGAGCAGCGCCAGACGATAAAGATGGATTGCCAAATCATTCGATGAATCACCTCATAATTGATGTGCGCAAGAACCCGTATACAACCTTCCTTAAAGGCATCCTGGTACCCAGGTAATACATGAATCCATCGGGGGTTGTGGTGTGCTTTTCCACAAAGCAGCAAGACAGCCTGCAGTGTTCTTCCTAAGGCACCAATGGATGTGCAAATCCATCGTTTGAATCCAGCTGGCGCAGAAATCCTTCCTCGAGAGCTTGTGATTACCCATGTTAATAGTCGTTGTAGGCACAATATGGAAGGTTGAAAGGTGGAGGTCGGAATGGGTGCCAACGAAATCGAGAGCATGCTTCACAACATCAACAGACTCCTCTTTGCCCTCTTGCATATCCATTACAGATGCGACAATCGAGATGATCAGTTATCATCCTCCCTCTCACCCTGCCTCCGTCCTGATGCCATGGAACGGACCTTCTATTCACTCTGATGTAAGCCAGTCCTTTTTGTTCAGTCCTTGAAAAAATTTCCTCAGGTTGTTCTTGATTTGTACATAATGTAGAAGCTGAGCATCATTCTCCATCTGGGTCATGGACAAAAAGAATCCCCAGGACCAAGTGCCGACGTGATGCCGTTAGGAGCTTGCTGATGAGGTCCGAGAACGTAAAGTGGCGGCAGACAATTGGAAGCCACATCAGTAGTCCGAAATAGTTCCGGCGAAGTAAATTGACGACTGCAATCAACAAGCTCGAGTGATCCATATTAATTGCCAAGAGACATAAGAGTGGAAGTGCTCTCAAGCCGTTGAGAATGACCTCGGCACATGCATCGGTTGCATCCATTCCACAGTCCATGGCATTCTTGTGCACTCTGTTATTTTCTCCATTTCCTGAGTTCCCCATCAACAAATGCAAATGCTCGGGCACTAGTAGGAAGCTAGATAGCAATGGGATCACTGACTCCTTCTCCTCTCTCTCCTGAAGATGCCTTGGATGGCCGCATGTACTTTCAACCCAAGTACAAACTGTCTTCACAACCTGAGCACACAACGAAAATCCAGCAGCATCAATATTTTCCCTTTGCCTAGTTGGCATGGGCCCCTTCCCCTTGGTATTATTAACTCTGTCGTTGTTTGGCTGCATAATTGTCAATCTAATTCCTTTTTGGATCCTTCTCACCATTGGGCACCATAATCCAAGGAACACAACCAGCAATCTAGTTTGTGGTGCAGTGATGGACTCAAGTTAGATATGACAATCCGTTGCAGACCCTATTGCTCGAAAAATATGCTCCAATGCTTTCCATAGTCAGGAATAGAGTATGCAATATCTTTCGACTTCCTCAAGTGAGAATGAATTAGATAGAGATCGAGATAAAAAAAGAAAAAAAGTAAGAGTGAAAGGGGGACAAAGAGAAAGTAGAGAAAAAAGACGAGAGACAGAAAGAGAGCGAGAGAGAGTTAGATCGAGATCGAGAGAGATAAAAATAAAATGAGTGAGAGGGATAGCGAGAGTTTGATCTGAGAGAGGCAGACAAGAAGACAGAGAGAGAGGCTTTGCACAACTTACCGAAGAGTTTATGAAGAAAGTGGAAGCTTTAGTCTTTTGAATGGTCGCCGATCTTTAATCTTTTGAAAATTGCTGTTGCTTTTTTTCTCGTGGTCTATTTGGCATATTACAAGGAGCAAGAAATTGAATCTATCCTTGTTCATTTTCCTGCAAAAATTTGTACGGAGAAAAACAGATCATGAGTTAGCTATTTGGTAAAAGACAATTCACATTGGCGCATTGCTAACAATAAGAAAGAGTTAGTGATCTGTAAAACACATATCACAACTCACTTTCTTCTCTCTCTCTCTCTCTGTCTCTCTCTCTCTCTGTCTCTCTCTCTCTCTCTCACTTACACATTGTCTTTCTCCCAGTCTGTCAAGAAGTTGGAGGATGGAATAGGAATCCAAGTCTGTCAAGAAGTTGGGGGATGGAATAGAAAAAAGTGAGAATGGGCAGGAGTCTAATTTGCATACCTCGTAATGTGCTTAAACTTGGCGAACCATTTGAACCTTTGCTCGCGAATGGACATGTTGACATCAGTCAACTCTTTGTATTTTGTAGGATTGATTTTGCTTTTGCACCAGTGTCCAATATGGTTCTTCTTGAAGTGGAAACGGTCCACTGTATATGGAACAAGGAAAAGAAGACACGGATTTATTGTTAGTTAGCTATTTGCAACTCGGTCTGCATGGAACAATATTCCGCTCTGTTTGTGCATTTCGGGTTTTACAAAAAAACAGACTTATAATCGACAAGCACAAAGGACTCAATTACGAACAAACTAAAGTCACTGCAGCTACGCCCGCAAAGGCTACCAGAGTGGCCCGAAGTCATTTGCCCGACCGAGGGGAAAAAACAGTTTTTTTTTTTTTTTTTGTTAAGAATTTCGATGTGACCCTGAGGCAAAAGTTGTTTAGTTTGTTTTTTTGCGTAGAATAATTTAAGATGGAAAGACATGCACAACTCAGAAGCCGGTATGAGAAGGCAGATGTTCCAACTTGCAGTTGGACAAGAGTCACCATAGGCTACGTGAATTCTCGATTTATGTGTGTCATCCTTGTGCAGGGGCCATGTTAATCTTCTTTGTATCGTTCAAATTTTAACGAATGTTCCAAAGGACAGGCTACGTGCAAAGGCACTATAAAGTCACGTTCTGTATAGCGGTTGTTGTAAAGTCACGTTCTGTATAGCGGTTGTCCTCATCGTTTATCCCTTTCTTGCTCTCACGATAAATACAACAGATTTAGACAGTTCTAGACCTGAGAGGAAAGGTAAATGCTTGACAAGCTGATAGTCAATCCTCCACAATGCTGGAGCAATCAATGTTGTTAAGGGGCGGCAGGAAGCGTAAGGGTGTTCTTATTTTAATTATGACTTGGCGGTGGAATAGGAACGGGACTGATGCTCCCCAGAATAGATATGGAGCGAGGCCCATAAGGACCTGTGTTTTTCAAAGGGGAAAAAAAAAATACAGCTTCTACTTGCAGGTTTCGTTGAAAGCTCCAGTGGACCAGTAGGAATACAAAGAAATAAAATGAACTGCTGCACAAACATCAGAGGAGTGATTCCCACATAAGTGGTGAAAAGAAGAAGGTTAACTCTAAGCCAACAAAAATATGATGTCATTGATATTCCCTTCTCTCTCTTTCTCTCCCTATCTCTTTCTCTCACATATACACACACACTCTCTTAGGGCCGAGTGTGAACAGAACTCTCTATCTGTTCAGGGTTGTACCTCTGATAGAGGGATGAGAAAGGGAGGGAGGGAGAGAGGGTGCAGAAAACGAACAGTCCTTCAGAGTTTCTGTTGAATTAGGAATGATCTAAGACGATTGAAATGACCGCTACACAACTCTCTCTCTCTCTCTCTCTCTCTCTCTCTCTCTCTCTCTCTCTCTCTCTCTCT